GATGGCAAGGAGGGAGTTTTAAGAGAGGACGTCTCACCCATAGAAAGATAGCTAGCCATCTTTTTTTTTTTACAGGGGCATCCTCTCATAGTCGTTTCCGCGCATCGCCTCGATGTTGGCATAACTCGTATGCTGGAATCGATGAATGCGTAAGAAAGATAATGCTCAAAACTCACCATACGCAGAGCAGGAGGATTGGGAAGGCTCAGCCTCAGCTTCTTCGCCGTCCTCAGACATCTCCTGCTCTTACTGGGCCGAACCCAGCAGAGCACCGGCCCCTGGATCAAACGATGTTAAAGAAATAACATCATCCTCCAGCAGCTTACTCTCGTCCACAGCCGACGAGCGCGAGAGGGAAAACCCCTTTTTAAACTCATCAGCCAGATCCACCTGCGATCCCCACGAGCCCATCCTCCTCCGTGCCTCAGCAGCGGTGGGTCCTGAGCCGCGGGAAGCAGATGGCTGCCACCCTTTCCTCGAAAAGAGAGACAATCGAGAACGGAGCTTTTCATTAAAATACGCTCGCAATGAACGCGGATTGCCCCCTCAAGGACATCGCGTGCGTGCTCTTTGCCCAAACGAACAACGCAGAGATCGTGTGTCTCTAAACGCTTTGCTAGTGCTCGCCATAACGATAGGAATATAGATCACTCTTACCACGGAAATGCACGCTTCAAACAAAACGGTCAGTGAAGACGAAGAAGAGAATGACATGTTCTCCCGGCGCCTATTTATACTATAGTCGCACCGGTAGTGACGTCATGGGCTGTCGCCGGCCAACGTGTTGTTGGTGTTTTTTCAATGCTTCAGAACGGGTCACGACGAGGCGTCCCCCATAGCGACCCCTAGAGGACGCAGTTCGAAGTTCCCTTGAAAGGGAACTTTTTTTAATGTTACTACTTGTTTCAGAAGGTTCAGAGAACATTCAAAAGTAACATTTCCATAATGTTTGCAAAATGGAATGTTCCTGTAACATTTGCATAATCAAGAAAAAAAAAGTTTTTTTATATTTTAAAAGCTGGATGTTCTGGGCGTTCAGAGAACATTCAGAAATAATGTTTTTATAACTTAATGGGAACGTTAGCAAAACGCCAGGCCATAAAAAAACACAGTTTGTTTCTGAATGGAGTGTGTGATTTGTGTTTATCTGAGCTCCTCGTGATCGCTGTGTGTGAGTGTGTGTGTGTGTGTGTGTGTGTGTGTGTGTGTGTGTGTGTGAGTTTTAAAAGCTGGATGTTCTGGGCGTTCAGAGAACATTCAGAAATAATGTTTTTATAACTTAATGGGAACGTTAGGAAAACGTTCTTAGAGCAAATTATCAACACAACACATGAAAGAGAACTGCATTTGTCAAACTATTTCATTAAGTCTTTAATGAAACTTTAAGCATAAATAAATATGAATATTGTGGGTGAATCGCTGAATGTTGGTAATGGTTGGTGAATTAGTCTATCTATTAGTCTATTAGTCAATCATCTGCTGTCAGTGTGAATCACAGAAAAACAAGGGAAGAGAAGATGCTCAATGAAGTATCATATGATGAGAATGTTATTTTTTGGGGGGTCTCACTCAATAACTTCATTTAGGTCAAATTCTTCCTCCTAATCTTCCTCTAATAACACACATGAGAGCGCTGACCTGCTGTAAACACAGAGCTGAAGCTTTATGTGATGGGTAATCCCGACTGGAATCTTTTATTCGCGATCTTTCCAGAAGGGAAGCCGTGTGAGCGCAGTGTTTGTTCAGCGGCTTGACTCTTGCGCTTGGGAAGAACTGCTCTCCTCCAGGGCACTGCATGTCAGACTCAATCTCATGAACTTAAGACATGTAATAACAGTGCATTAGGACGGCTTTGGCCAGACAGACTCAGACTATGAAATCTCTCGAGGGTCACTAACAGAGGTGGTCCTTATTTTGAAATTCAAGGAATTATGCACGGTGTACATTTAAAAAATATTCACAAGGTAAAAACTCCATGAAACATTTTGTCAAATAACCATCTTACATAATCGGTTTCATTTAGGTAGAAACATTTTCATGACTGAATCAGCCTGACTACATAGATTTTGTATGGTGGATCATTTTTCTGTTACAACAGATATTGGATTTGCTAGCAGAATGAAGTTGATTAATAAAACTGTGCTTTATTGAAAATGTGTGCTCTTTAATGTCTAGTAACTGTTTCATCAAAATGCTATATTAAAAGTTGGAAATATAGTACATCTACTTTATCTGCATACAGTACACTCATGTAAAGCAATATACTGTATGCTGTACAGCAAATCTCAACAGCTTGATTGTTTATATCGTTAAATGTAAAATGTTTATATTGAAAAAAATGAACTATATTATCATCCAGCTCTAATCTGACTTTAAGATATTATAACATTCACATTATGATTTTCTGAAAAGCTTATCTAAAACAATGTGTATTGTGTGCTATATCAATAAAAAATAGAATTAAAATTGATTTGACTTGATATAAGCAATGCTGCATGTCTAATTTTTGTTGAAATGATTTAGTCCAACAAAACAAGTCAAATTCCTGCAGAAAGAAAAACTAATTCCTTCCTAATTCCTCAGGAGAAATTAAAGATCACTTTTTGTTGATGGTTTGGTTTCAATATCTGAAGCTGTCATGAATTTTCCATGTTTTGGACTGAAGTAAAATCCTGATATTTTAGACCATTCTTTTGTGACACTGGCTTCCTGTTTTTGAATGCCAATATCCTTGTGCTCATCCATACAAAAATGGTTTGTTAAGACAGTTGTGGAGGATCTCGATGAGTCCAGACCTTTGAGATAAACTGGGCTGACGGCTACGAGTCTGGCCTAATCATACAATCACACAATGCCTGACCTCTCTAATGCTCTCATGCTCGAATAGAAGCAAATCCCTTCAGCTGTGTTATAACATCTAGAGGAAAGCATTCCTGAGGCCAGTGGGGCTGTTATCACCACTTAAGTTAGTTTCAGTGTTTAAGAATAAGAGCAGGTGAACACATCACTGTAAACTCTGATGTGATCCAAACATCTAAACATTCTAGATACAATTTCATAAAGGGATAGTTCACCCCAAAAAAATAGAATTAGTTGTCAAATCAACCCGCATGAGCTTCTTTCTTCTGTTGAGCACCAAAAAGGTATTTTGTAGAATGTTGGAAACCAAACAGTTGATGGTAGCCATTGACTACCATAGTATGGAGAGAAAAAAACACTATGGAAGTCAATGGCTGCCGTGAACCGGTTGGTTGCCAGCACTCTTCTTTAAGGCAGATCTCTAGCTAATGCAGACACACTAGTTGGTCATTGCATGAGCCGGATCCATCCTCTACGTCTCATGCTCTTGATCTCTTTCTCTCTGTGTAGCCGTGTGTGCTGTGACTTCCTGAAGTCTAGAAGTGAGGTGAACTGATCTGGAGAGAGAAGCACAATGTCACGATCAGACGAGGTCAACAAAATGACAGAAAATGTCTACAAGGTATGTGTTCAATGAAAGGGAACAATAAGTAGACAACCCAAGATGATAAAAGTTAAAAAATTTAGTTTAAAACATATGCGCCAAGATCTTAGAAATGTAATCTTTTCTTCATATTTGTTTTATACACATGTTTGTGCAAAAAAAATGCATATATCAACAAAAATAATTGACATAAATAATGAAAAAATGTAATAACCTCTTTATGAATTCTCTATATGATACGTGTTTTCTGCCACATAACAACTTTAATCACATAAGCACTTTAGCTTTTTAACAGCATTATAGTTCTAACACACAAAAAAATATTTGGCAAGCAATGAAAAAAACATATATTTTTTTTTTTGGTCATTGTATGTTTGTCTATATGTAGAGAGAGAATAATTTTACATAATTGTTACAAATATATTTTTTTAAATGCTTGACTACTTTTGTATTATTTTTAAAACTAAAATAAAAATATGCTAAAGCACTTCATTATTTTTTTAAACTGTTTAAACACCACCTAGAAATTGTTTTAAATTTTAAAAGCCACAAAAAATATAAATGAATTGTAAAGGTATATTTCAGTCATTGTGAATTGTATTTTTAACGGTATTTTTAATAATAATAAAAAATGAGCATCGTTGACAGGTACACAGTCCATTATTCCACCTCATGTCTTCCATGCATCTGTTTCAGTATTTTAATTACTGGTTAAAATGTATACAGTTATGTCCTAATTAAATGTGTTGCGGATTCTGTGTCTAGGGCATTCTGGAGCAGTTCAACCCCAGTCTGAAGAATTTTGTCACCATGGGCAAACACTATGAAAAGGCTCTGACAGGTCAGACATCATGTAATAATGTAATAGTTCATTTTCTTTGTGATGGGCAAAAGTCCACTGGAAATTCGTGTGAACTTGGATGCATGTTCATTAGCACTTCACCTGCCAAACAATCATGGATTCTGTAGCACACAGACTGCTGTAACATGCCCATGCTCTCGCTCTCTCTCTCTCTCTGTCTCTTTTTTATCTCTCCAGGCGTCACAGTAGCAGCAAAGGGTTATTTTGATGCTCTGGTCAAACTAGGAGAGCTGGCCAGTGACAGCCAGGGCTCGAAAGAACTGGGTAAGACACTTCAAACCCAAACACAGTGAAAATACCAGAAAGATTTGAGTAAATAAATGTCCTCAAAATTAAATAATCTCTCAAACTAATTGTATGGTCTGGTTCACAACCTAAGTATTGCGCCAAAGTTAAGTCATTGCAAGTACAGTATACTTACAGCACATTTGCAATTAAAGTACTGATGTTGTCATGTGATTCCACTTAATTATTTCAAATAAATTGGCATAAAACGAGAGATTTGTGCAGATGTTTTTTTAGGACGGAAACAAGCTGTTATTAGACAAGACTGTTGTTTTGATAAAAGTGAAAATATTGCAACATGTTAATTATGTTATAATATTATAGGGATGCATGATATTGGATTTTTGCCGATATCCGATATGTCAATATTTTTCAACTCATTTTGGCCGATACCGATACCGATATATTTCCTTTTGTTTCGAAACAACACCAAGTCTCTCCTGCGCAGAAATTATAAGCAAAATATTCTTAATTTTGGTTAGTTTTTAACAAGAACTTATTTGTTAGAATTAAATAAACAATAATGAAGGTTTTTTGACAGTACATTGAAGCTTTGAAAATAGCTATAAATAAACTATATATCAATCGCTGCATTTTTCCCCCCCAGAAAGATGCAGTGTTAACCCTAACATTTTATTTTAAGATTTAACATTTGTAGATGGTCTAAAGCAAAAAAGTTGTAAAAATCTTTTAGAGCTTATGATGTGTTTAAAAAAAAAAAAAAGAAACTAAATCAGTATATATCAAATTATTTAATTTACAAGTGTCATGTTTGTGATTTTTTTTCATGTAAGCTATAGCTTCTGACCTTTAAATCAAAACACACTCATTATTTTATGACATCGATTACTGCTTTATTTAATCAGAAACACAGCCTAAATGTTATTTGTGTAGGCTATTTTACTTTTAATTTAATTAGAAGTAGGCAAACAGCACCCCCTACAGATTAAAAGTCCTTACAGAACAGGCGTTAGGACCTGGGGGAGGCTGCGCTGCTGCCACTGCACCTACTATTACTGTTTACTCCATCATACACCGAACGCATCTTTCTGTACGTGCCTTCACATATTAAATGCAGCGATCCAAAAGAGTGAATCTAATCATCATTCAGACAAAACTTTGCTTCAAGAATGAGCCAAAAGCAGGCATTAGGACCCGGTGGAGGTTGTCACTGCTGCCACTTGTGAGTTAATGTATTCCTCTTTTCGGCAAGACATATTGGCATAATTTTTCATATCGGGCCGATGCCGATATGTACATTTAAATGAAGACAAAACTAAAGACAGAAAGAGCCACAAACAAACAACAACTGAAGTCAGCTGCAGTAAAGGCCTGGCAAAGCATCACAAAGAAGAAACCCAGTCTCTGCTGATGTCCATGAGCTCCAGACGTAAGGCAGTCAATGCCTGCAAAGGATTCTCAACACAATATCAAAAATTAACATTTTATGTATGATTATATTTATTTGTCCAATTACATTTGAGCCCCTGAAAATGGGGGGACTGTGTATAAAAACTGATGTAATTCCTAAGCACAATTTCATCTTGATTGTTTAATTTTTATTCTATTCTGGTGGCATTCAGGGCCAACATTATGACAATTGTGTTAGTGTCCAAATATATATGGACCTAACTGTATATATATATATATATATATATATATAGAGAGAGAGAGAGAGAGAGAGATTAGTTTTAATCACTATCAGTTCCCATGATTTAGATCCAGTGCTGTTTTGGTACCATTGAACGTTTTTATTTTTATATTTTCCATTTTTGTTTTAATTTTAGTTAATGTTTTAGTAATATTGTTGTGTGTTTTTGTCATTTTTATTTAGGTTTAAGTATATAGTTTTTGTGGTTTTATTTTAGTTTTATGTAGTTTTTATAAGTCTTATTTCTGTTTTAGTTTTAGTTAATTAAGTAGGCTACATCAAAGTTAAACTAAATGAAAAATATATTTATATGTATATTTATTTCAGCTAGTAGCCAAAGTGACATTTCTCATTTTCATTTAGTTCACTTAGCTTATATACTTTTTTTTTCTTCTTTTTTTTATGGTTTTAATTTTAGTTTTAGTTAACTAGGGCTATTCAATTTTGTTTCTGAAGCGACACTTCCGGCAGAGTAAAGTTAATGGTGAGAACTGATTGTGAAAATGTAAGTAAATATAACTACATTGTTCAAGTTCATAGTACATCAGTGTTCACAGGAAACGAAAGCGTAAAAACAAGTGACTACAGCAGAAGAGAATGAAGAGGCAAAGCCTGTACGATAAAATGGAGATGAAGAAAGTAAGAGAAAGCGAGAGAGGGGCAAAAGAGAGAGAGGCCTTTGTTGAAAGATTAACAACACCACATGATCTCATTGTGCTGCTGAAAACAGCGGGGGTAGATGAGAGGGAGGGAGAGATGCCAAAACGCACACACACTGTTGCTCAGTAGGGGATAAAAAAGGCCAACATCCACGGCTCGGCCGACTGGAACCCACAACAAAACACGCCACAAATTCACCCTCAATGAAACGCAACAATGGACAGACAATGTCATGCATATCACATCCTCTAAAGGAAGAAATGACTCTTTTCGATTTTGTTTAGACAAATAATTGCGCATACAGTTAAGCATCACAGTCTGCAGTTTATGCAAGTGCATGAACATGCATTTCAAAAAATTACCATGCAGTTGTTGCATTATAGATCGCACTTTAATGTGACCCTATCGTGACCTTTATGTGATTGAGATGTCATTATCGGGTCGTGTATGAACATATGTTTGATAACACATCTGTGAATTGTGATGCAGATCTCATGGTTTGTGTGGAATGTGTTTGACACGTCTTCTCATAATTCATATTGATTCAGGTGATACGTTGTTCCAGATGGCAGAGGTTCATCGGCAGATCCAGGTCCAACTCGAGGATGTGGTGAGTAAATTTGATTGCATTGTTGTATGCATAGCAATTGTAAAAAATATGTTTTCTTTTGTAAAATTTCTTTACACCAAAAAAAAAAAAGATGGCTCACTGCCATAATATTACATGGTCCATGTTTACATTACAATTCAAAATGAGTCCGTTCATTTTTTTTTATATTTAGAATATATTTTGACATGGTATTACTGTAGAAGTGTGGTATTACTGTTTGAACTTAAGTTTACTGTAACCGTTTTGAAAAGTGTAAAATGTGCATATTGGCCTGTAGGTACATATAATTTTGGCATTGTCTGTGTCTGAGTGAGAAAAGAATTCATGTCATTTGAAAGATGTTTTCATTGAGTGTAGCCCACATAGACGCTGTTGAGCTTCATTGTATCAAGAGTTTTGAAAAAGTTACCTATAGTCAGAAAAACTATAATGTGTAGTATTTTATGTAACAATTCCTTTGGCAGGTGCTGCAAAGAAGTCATCTTCTGAGACAAAACACCAGAGTGCCACAAGAAATGCTAGTCGTACGCAACAAATCAAGAAATAAGAGGAAATGTTAAAGTGCCAATAGAAATGTGCTGTAGATATCTCTGTAGATATCTGAGGCTGGAGTGATGGACGCTTGTGTTTCCATACTCACTGTATTTGCTGTGTTTTCTGTCTGTCTGTCTGCAGCTAAAGCTGTTTCATTCAGAGCTGCTGTCTCAACTCGAGCAGAAACTGGAGCTAGACATCAAATATCTGACCGTGAGTGGACATCACTGCCTAACTAAACAACCTACTGAATTCACTAAATAGGGGAGCTCAAACAAGTAAACACAGAGTTTGTCTTGTAAACACTTTGAGTAAATGAATCAGAAAAGATTAATATGGGAATGAACTACTCCTCCTGGACTCTCTGAAATGGACCAGAACTTGATATACTGTATGAAAACCTTTGTGCAGGCGACGCTGAAGAAGTACCAGAGTGAGAGGAAGTCAAAGGTGGAGTCCATTGAGCGATGCCAATCACAGCTGAAGAAGCTGCGGAGGAAGAGCCAAGCTAGTCGCCATCCCAACAAATATGGAGACAGAGAGATGCAGGTACACACATGATCAAACTTTGCTGTCACACACAATCGACTCCATGCCTTCTGTCGTCTGATTGACAGTTTAGAGGTTTTTATCCAGTAAAAGCTCTTTTAGTGTAATTGTACAAACATCCAGCTTCAGCTCGAGCTTCACGTGTCTGGTTGCTGTCAAATCTTTACTAATTTGAATCAAGTAAATGTCAGAATAACTGCAGTAATATCTCCAGAAGAACACTTACTGGACTGAAGCAGCTCAGCTTTACTTGATTCTCCATCAATCATGTTTTAGAGTCTCAAATCTGATCCTCAGGATCTTTTGAGGAGCGTTTGTTTCCAGAAGCTTTACTTTCACTGTTCCTCAGCGGAGGAATGATCTTCACAAGCCTCCAGAACATCTCACATCTTCTGAGGAGCCTTTATTTCTTCATCTCCCTTACAGAAAAACCACATGAATTTCACATGTGCAAAAACACATGTGGTCACATGTGGCCACATATACATGTGAAAATCACATGTGGCACATGTTAAAGTCACATGTGACACATGTTAAAATCACATGTGAAACATACGAACATGTTAAAAACACATGTGAAATGCACATGGGAAATGTGTTTTTGGAACATTTTTGTGTGAATCCCATGTAAAATCCCATGTGAAACCCACAGGATCACATGTGACACATGTACATTCTCATGTGAAACCCATAGGATCACATGTGACACTCATATAAATGTGAAACCCATGGGACGTGTGAAAAAACGTGTGAAATTCATGTGACTTTTCTGTAAGGGCTCTCAATCAGCACTGGATTGCAATGCATTATATGTTTTGATCATTTCAATATCATCTTACTGAGACATGTTATTGGAGATACAGAATGACGACTCATATTTAGATCATTTCATGTAAGTATCTGTTATAAAGACCTCATTGATCTACAAGCTGTCAAACATATTAATATCAGCATCTGCACCAAATTGCTCATATTTGTGCTTAGATTGAGCCTGATGTATCAAATATGATACAAACGCAAAAACACGTGATTTTTTTTTAGATTTTGTCTAAGTTCAATAAATCATTTAATTAAAAAAACAACTTTTATTTCATATGTCAGATTTTAGAGGGTTAAAAATAAAGGTTAAAAGACATACACCAAGAAATGTTCTTAAAAATGTAATTCTTGTATTCTGTGAACTTTTATACCATCTTCAACAAATGTTTTGATTAAACGACTTCATTGAATGAAAAGCAATAATACATTTTCTTTACACCTTGAATACAAGCATACACATTAAAATAAATGTTATATAAATAGTGGTATTTGAATAATGGTATACTAAAGCAATAAGCCCCGTGAAGCCGTGGTTTACAGTGAATTTATAACAGCTAAGGGGCGTTGTTAGGTACGACGCGAAGCGGAGCTTATTGCTTTTATAAAACGGTTATTCCATATACGTAGTAAGGTTTCACAAAATAAAACAGAGCAAATAAATGTGATGATATTAATAAAAACAGTATTCTTCCACCAAACAATGTAGTTCCTCAGAAACAGTTGTGGTTGCAACAAAATTGTTGCCGAGCAAAAGACAAACGTAAACAAAGGTGTATGTTACTTTGTAGAGTATTTTAAAACAGCTTCGAACGTGGCTCAGCCAATCAGAATCAAGCACCGGAACTCTCCGTTTTATAACAATTCAACAATAAACAGCCTGAATTAATTTTCCATGTCATTAAAAGTTTTAAAAAACATAGTATTTTCTGGAGTCATGAATGTGTACAGGAGTCTGATATCAATTCCTGTTTTGTGGGGGGTTTTTTGTCACATGACAGCAAAATGGCTTCCCTGACATTTGATTTGGCACCAAACATTGTTTTTTTTTTTTTTATAGTAAAAACAGTTTGTAATGTGACTCAATAACCTTAGAGTTAACTGCATCCCAATGTGGCCTGGTCACAGTCACCTCCAAGCAAAGCCACGCTGATTGGCATGCCAGTAAATTAACAGTAAGTCACTTCGGATTAAAGCGCCTGCTGAAGAACTGAGTAATTGTGTTGCTTGCTAGTTCTTTGACTGCTGTGTTCATTACTGTAGAATGTCATGTACTGCCAGTCATTTGTAGTTTGTATGACTCATAATGGCTGATTGAGCGGAGTGAAGGCCGTCTGTGCGACCCAGTGTCCTGCATATTAAAGCTGATTTGAGAGCGGAAGACTTTTCCTCCATGTGTGAACAAGTGTGTGTTTATTTGAGCTCGTGTTTGTTCAGGAGCGAGTCTATCTCTGTTTATGTAGGCCTGAGCTGAGCTATCACGAGCATTAGTCTAAACATGTTTCAGGTCAGAAAGAGAAAGAACGAGTCATTTAGTTTGAGATTAAGCAGATATCCGGAAACAGCTGATTTGGGCCCAGAATAAAGTAACACTGATGTAGTGAAAAAACAACAAAATGAGAGAGGGGAAAATCATGAAGTAAAACAGGATCGCAGTCTGAAAGATGTTGAGATATTCAATGAAAAGGTCGGTTAAATGAACAACATTATGGCCATTTGTGGGTGACCTGGTACTTTAAGGCAGGGTTCTATTAACTATATTGAATGTAACATCAAAATAAATGAATGGGGCTGCACGATAATCACAATATAGCTTAGTGTAATTATCAAATCAAAGCCTGTGATTTCATTAAATGCGAACGAAGCGCAGCACTGTGTTCATTTACACACGAGCAGCTCATGATTCAGTGTTTTCTGCTTCTTGGTTCACTGTAAATGCACTGAACTACATTTATGCATGTGCTGTGAGTTTAATGCGCATTTGAAGATGCAATGTGCACTAGGTTTGCTTTATTTACATATTTGCATAATTTCCAGCATTTAGACAGAGTTTTACAGCATTTCAGTAGTGTTTTGCCAAAATGGAAGCTCAAGGATTTAAATTATGAAAAGTATGTGCATTTGAACATCTGGAAGTAAAACATTTTAGACATGAATATCAGTATTGTAACTTGTAAATAATAATGATAAAACTTATTATTATCAATTATTGTAGTTTAAAACTATAATATTGTTCTTCGTTTTTAGAATTAGTTAAAACCTAACAACAACTATTATAATAATAACGATGATGATGATGATAATAATTATTAATATTATTAATTTTTATCAATATTATTATTATTATTATTATTTAATTTGATTAGGCTCCTAAAACACCAGTGTGAATGTAATGTAGACTGACACACAACAACAACAAAAAGAGGTTTGAGTCTACTTTAAAGTCCAGCTGCAAAGTCAAAATAAAACACTTACTAAAAATAATCATATTAATAAAGATATTATATTTTATCTGTTTACTTGCATGTCATGTTATCAACTTTAGAGAATCTCAGTGGGTACTTCAAGTAAATAATTAATGCCTAATGGTTTTGGCAGACAAAAAGTTTGGGAGCCCCTTCCTAAGAGTCACATGCTTATTTAATGTAAATTCTCTCACTGTAACAGTATGTGGAGCTGATGAGTCGCCGGCAGGGCGAGCTGGACTCTCTGGTTGCCGTTGGTTACCGCTCCGCTCTGACAGAAGAAAGGCGACGCTATTGCTTTCTGGTGGACCGTCAGTGTTCAGTCACCAAGATCCTCACCAACTACCACTGCAAGGTAACACTACAGATCTGAGCTTCAACCAGCTAACTCATGCTGTAAAGGACTAGCAGACACAACAGCCTCACTAGAAAATGTGCCTCTACCTACATTCTAGCAAAACTAAAAAAAAAAAAGTACCTATATGTACAATTCATTGTGGTTTCCAGCTGAAACGAACACTTCATATGTATGTAAACGTGCTCGGTAGCGCACCTGGTGCAGCATGTAAAGCACTCAGGAACAAGTCCCCTGAAACACAACTCACTATAAAAGAGCTCAAATACTTGTAGAAGCTTCTTCAGCAGATGGATTTTATCTCACATTTGCGTTAACACTGTACGCCATTTTCCTACTGAGTCTACTGTCTTTTAAATTATGGAAGGCTCTTCCAGTTTCAAAAAGGCTGAAGCAAATCACTTCAAATCATAAAGTTGTGCAACAAAAGAATAATTATCTGTCGGTTTGATAATGTGTAACATATCAATGAATAACATTGGTATTATATCTGTAGCAAGAGCTCTTCTCAGTGTTCTCAGCATCTTTCCTCCTGATTATTTTCATTTTCCTTTGTATTTCTATGCAACGATGTGAAAAATGAGACATATACTGCGCATTTGTGGTCTGCTTCCACTATGTATTTATGATATGTCCCATATAATTATTCACTTGAACTCACTAAGAATTCAAAAATATCACAAAGGCTTGTTTTCACAATTTAAAATTTCCCCTTTACACTTCTAATTCCTGTTAGCAGTGTTTACTGGAATGTGTCTAAAGCAGGAAAGTACAATATTTTGCAATCTGTCAAAATGACAGAAATTGCTTTGAAATATTATCACTCAGTCTTCCCAGCCACAGCCACCGCCAGCATTTTTTATTATTTTAACATTAATTTCATGGCCCCCAGAATATTTTGTTGTTTGAATATCTGAACATGCAATATGCCAAAAGAAAGAACTGAGCTTCTGCTTTTAAACAAATAACAAAAAAAAAAAACATTCAACTTCCTGCATTCTTTTTTTTAATCAACACTGGAATATGGGCAAGTTTAATGTAAAAAAAGTAACATTTTAAACAAAAAAGCTGAGGAGAAAATGGCGTTTTTGTCCGAGACTAAGTCTGGATCAGATTCAGAACGATGATCAAAACACAGATGGAGTAGATCGAGTCCATTAATACCCCAAAAACTTCAGAGTCCACTTTCTGAATCGTCATTTCATTTGGAAACGTTATGCAGTTTATATGCTATTTAATGCTTGATTATCACGTAATTTTACATATGCATCTGTTTACATATGCGATCGCTTATTTCGGCTTCTTCTTCGCTATGTTTTGATCCAGAGATTCTGTACTCTATCAGAAGATGTGTAATAGCGCCTCCTACTGTATAACACTGAAAACATGTAAAAGTGCACTTTTTTTCAAACGTTTCAGAATATTTTCAATTGTCTTAGTGCAATACACACAATCAAAAAGTATCCTTTTCACTACACAAAGTAAACGTTTCATCTATATAAATGTTTCATTCATAGTAACTGCCTTTCATAAAGCTCTTACTAGCAAACTTTTAATTTGCATGTCTTCTTAAAGCAATAAGCCCCAAGAAGCCGTGGTTTACAGTGAATTTATAACAGCTAAGGGGCGTTTTAGTTGTGCCTTAACAACGCCCCTTAGCTGTTATAAATTCACTGTAAACCACGGCTTCTTGGGGCTTATTGCTTTAAGAAGACATGCAAATTAAAAGTTTGCTAGTAAGAGCTTTGCCAATCAGAATCAAGGACCGGAACTCTCCGTTTTATAACAATTCAGTTTAATACATTTGTCTATTATTTAATCTATTGGCGCTTTTCCACTGCATGGTACGGCACGGTACGGTTCACTTTTGGGGGGTTTTCCACTGGGTACAGTACCTGGTACTTTTTTTAGTACCACTTCGGTTGGGGTTCCAAGTTTTTTTTTGTGTTTTTTTTTTATTATGCAAAAATTATACAAAGATTTGTACAAGCATATACAACTCGCAGCAAGTACAGAGACAACTAAACAATCATAATATGTAAATTGAAACAATTCATGCCAGGGGTAAAATTACAACAATTTAAAGTAACAAAAAGCTTCATAGGTCTTTCTAGCTTTTTTGTTCTTAATTTTGTCTAATGTGGTACCATATTGTTTAATCTCTTTTATAAAATGTTCAAAATTTGGCTTAGCTTTAGACCATTTTTTCACATGAATGTGATATTTTCCAAATAAAATAAAAAGTTGTGTAAGAAAGCATATCGTACTTTTGGAATCAACATTGTCCTGTACAAAAAAAACAAAACGACATCATACAAATTAATTTGTATATATGTTCCAAACAACCTAGAAATGAAATTAGAAACATCCAACCAAAACATTTTTGAATATATACAATCAATATTTATAATAATAATTTTAACTTGGTTTATATCGTTAAGTAAAGCAATCCAATGACCTTGATCATCTGTTTTGTGACTTACAACTTTCCCTGAAAACCTGTCCTTTAAAATAGCAACACCTGCTGTTCTATTTGAGGCACCAAAAGAGAACCAAATGTCACAACCCCACTGATTCTTCCAAAAAAGCACATCATCTTTGCAGGCATGAGTTTCTTGAATGAAACAAAAATCAGCTTCTTTTCCTTTACAAAACAAGAACAAAGCTTTTCTTTTTAGCATGTTTCGTAAACCCCTGGCATTAACTGAAAAAATTCTTATTGACATGAACTTGAAAAAGAAATAACAAAAAAAAACTTGATAGAACAATTAAATGAACAATGAATAAATTGGAATGTAGGTGCTGAGAGAGTATAAAGGGTACTCTTACTTCCAACTTTTCATAAGACAGTCACAATTCAGATTCAAGTGTTGAGATTCTGTTTGCTTGAATTTAACGAAAAGAAAATAATGACATCTTTATATAGTCCCAGTATCACAAAAACAAAAATCAAGTGATATCTTTACTTAGGCCTGATGTCACAGGAACATAAAACAATAACATCCTTATAAGCTTAAGGTTACATTAGAAATAAAATAAAATAAAATAAAAAAACAGAAATAAAAAATTCTAAGACTTGTAAGTCTAACTTGTAAGTCTCTATAGTTAAATTAATCTAATTATGGGTTAATGAAGCAAACAGACTTTTCGTATCAGATCATACTATGATTCTAGACCAATGACATATAAAAGCATGGTTTAATGTTTGATTTCTTTACCATCCACTATTGCCTTGACTCCCACATAGAAGGCCCTCTTGCCTTCTTTACGTGCTTTGTCAATCGCAGGCCAAAGGAGATTTCGTGTAGCTCTGTCTTTGATCGTGAGGTCTTCTTTGAAGTACATCTTGTTCTTTTTAAGAAAGTCATTTCCCTTTGCTCCTTTCCATGTGAGGTCTCGAGCTGTTCTGGAAGCGAATCTTATTATTACTGGCCTCGGTTTCTTTCCCTTGCCGCTGTCTACACTAGGTCTTCCAACGCGATGAGCAATGTCCACATTATTCGCCACGAAGTTACGCTCTTCCTCGACAACCACCGCTTTGCAGATCTCAGTCACCCTAGACTTGACATCGTCCTCGGTACGTTCAGTCAGCCCCTCTAAACGAAGATTCCATCTCCGACAGTATCAATCCTGATCATTCAGTTTGTCCTCCAAATCAGAGACCCGCTTCACAATCTCTTCATTTTTGTTTTTCAAATCTTCATTTTCTTTCCGAATGTCAAATATTTCAGAATGCACAACTTCCATTGCTTCTTTCAAGAGGTTGATGCTGGTTGAGTTTTCTTTCACCATGTCTTTTATTTCCTCGGATGATTGTTTGATTATTTGAATGATGCTGTGCTGTACCTGACTTAAGGTTAAGTCCTCTGATGCATCTCCTTTTGCGAGCTTCTTCGGCGGCTGTGTTTTAGACGGCGTGTTTGGGAAAGAGTCACATTCACCTCCTTTTTTGCTACGACAAGTGTAGGAGTGTGTGTCGTCAATAAGTCTTTTCTCCGTCATCTTTTGAACCTCAACGTCCATCTCTTCAGGAACTGACAACTCCATGGTAACTCACTCTTCTATAGAATTAAATAAACCGCAGAACTAGCAGTAAACAGCGCGAATTTATGCCAGAATCTCAGTATCACATAAAACGAGTGTGACTTTTTTCTTATATCAACATTAGTAAGACCTACCCAAACTTTATTTTACGCAGCCATGCAAATGCAACTAGTCATGCCGCCATCTTGCGCGTCCCTTGGGGTTCCAAGTGAACCGTACCGTTACCAAAACGTGACGTGTAAACTCTGCTGATCACGGATTGGCCGGAGAGAATCGTCACTACTTGCGTCACTGAACTTGCGACACAAACAAAAAAGAACTGCTAGATTTAAATCAGCACAGCCAGCGAAGGATCGAATGCAACTGTTTTGAACGAGCGCACCTTTTTTAACAGCCGAGTCGTACCACGCAGTGGAAAAGCGCCATAACTCATCTTAATGGTTAATAATCAGAGAATCATTTGGTGCATCTATAGATATCTATAGATGTAGATTCAATAGATTCAGTTTCTAAAGAACTTGTTTGTAATTTAGGGATAACCACATGTAATTAATTATTTTTTTACACTATAAGTGATTTATCTAAGATGATAACCACTATTGAGCGCGCGCGCATGTGTGTGTGTGCCTGGTATTTATCATGTTATGGGGACCAAATGTCCCCAGTAAATTTTGACCTTGTGGGGACATTTTTTTTGAGGTCCCCATGAGGAAACAAGCTTATAAATCATACAGAATTAAGTTTTTTAAAAGTCTAAAAATGCAGAAGGTTTCCTGTGAGTGTGTGTGTGTGTGCCTACTTAACCATATTTTGGGGACAAATTGTTACCCAGAAGTGAACAAAACCTGACAAATTCACCAATGTGTGAATTTTATGTGTAATTGTATTGAAAGCATGACATCAGGTTTTGAAAGAATGACTAGCGATGTTAAAAGTGTGATCGGTTTGGATTGTTGTACTTTGAGTTTTGAAAATATACTCCTTACTTGTGAAAATAGTACCAACGCGAATTTAAAAAAAAACTGTATTACAGTGATATTAAACACATCAAAAATATTGTTGCAAAAAAAGGTTAGGTGTAAGGTCAGGATTGTGTTTTCAAACAATAGATTGACATTTTGGTCTAATAAAATGTTGCCAGATTTATATTTTTCGCATAAAACTGGACAAGCTTGAAGCGCCACTCACTGGACATTTTACTTTCAAGAATCAGCATAATGTCATTTTGCATCTGTGCCAACAATTGTGTATGCAGTGTTTGAAATGAGTTAAAAGGGGTCATATGATGCGATTTCAAATGTCCCTTTCTCTTTGGAGTGTTACAAGCTGTTCATGAATAGATAAGATCCCTAAAGTTACAAAGACTAAAGTCTCAAACCCAAAGAGATATGTAACTTTTATTCTCACTGTAGTATTGTTGTTTCCGCCGCCGCCGCCATGTCTACATTGTTTGGTCTTCCAAAAGAGGACAAGACTAGAAATCAGTGGTTAAGTTGTATTTACAACACTGTTCCAGAACACTTCAACCCAAATATTCAGATGTGTGCAGCACATTTTATGGAAGACTGTGAGAGTAGCTTACAATGGGTCTGTGCTCAAAGGCTGTTCTATAAAGTTGGGCAGTTCCAACTTTGCAAGGACAGTCTTGCGCTTCATGACTCACAGCCTGTAAGCACGTTTTTATATATAAAGAGTTTGCCACTGACGATTCAAACGCGAGTTTTAGCAGTGTAGAGTAGCACTTGTTGTTTTATGAACGACTGGTGAGATGAAGAGACTCTAACCAGAGCACTTCTGTAGGTATTAAAGTCAGCTGTGTATGTAGCCATCAGCAGTCTAAAGATCTGATTTTGTTTGGTAGGTGAGAGAGCTGTTGTCTCAGAAGCTGTCGTCGTGGCAGCAGTCATGTGCGCAGCCAACCAAGCTCCCGGAGCGAGCGCTGAGCCTGCTGCGTCACACCGCCCCCCAGAGCTCTGGAGGAGCCGGACTCGCCGAGGTCCTGCGCAACGCTAAACTGGGAATCACTCAACACGGAGAACAGGTTTATCACATACATACTTGGGCATTTTCACATTGTCACAATGCAAAAAAAAAAAGACAGAATGGTGAACATAGTGAACATAATGGTCATAAAATAGGATTCATGTTTTTTTATGTAAAATATACTATAATTTCCTTCTTTCATTTTGATTTTAAGTGAAATAATAGGGACATTTCTTAACATCTCAACACATTTAATGAATGGCTGTGCTCAAAGTTGAATATCAAAGTGTCTGTTAATGATGGATTTGTGGACACATCAATGTTTTTAGATTTGTGGAGTAAAAAATATTGGGTAACCCTTTAGAATAGGGAACACTTATTCACTATTAACTACGACTTTTCCCTCAATAAATTCCTAATTTGCTGCTTATTAATAGTTAGTAAGGTAGTTGTTAAGTTTAGGTGTTGGGTAGGATTAGGGATGTAGAATATGGTCATGTAGAATAAGGCATTAATATGTGCTAATAAATGGCTCATATTCTAGTAAAATGCATAAACTAGTTAAGAGACCCCTAAAATAAAGTGTTACCAAATATTGTTTTCATTTTGAAGGAAAAAGCAAAGATTAGACTCAGGACTAGTGGCATGTTGTTACTAGTGTTATTACTTTTAAATGTAATACTTAGTAATTCATTTGGGTTATTATTCAATAATTTCCTGAGTTAAATGTACATTTCTTCGCTATTCATTAAAACCTATAGTGAATTCATTTAATCTGAATTTACAGTGTTGCTATTAAGACATATCTTAAGATTAATATAAATCATTTTTAAATAAATGAAATATGCAAATATTGATATTCCTCTATATAAGTCATATAATAAATTTACTTTTCAGATGAATCTCTTTCACTGAGGTTCAGGATTGCTTTGTCTGTGATGGACTATTAAATTGTCAAAACACAATTTGAAATAGAATAGTTGACTTGGACTATGAATGGCATTTTTATTTAATGTAATATAATATAATATACATACATTTCATTACTTTTATAGCATTTATTACATGCTTTCAGGGTTTTTCGTTTGTTTGTTTTTAGTTTGTTCGTTTTTTTTTCTCATTTAGAACGTGAAAAATTTGAGCAATTATTTTTGCATATTTTCCTCAATACATAAATAATTGTATAATGTATTGTTCTTTACTTTTCAAAATAGCGTTCTAAAAATAAAAAAGCACACCAAATACATGCAGCTGTATCATACACTAAATTCTTCCAAAGTAAAATAAAATAATCTTGAGTACACACACACACACACCTGTGTGTATATATATATAGAGAGAGAGAGAGAGAGAGAGAGAGAGAGAGAGAGAGAGAGAGGCTATATATATATATATAGAGGTGCATCTCAAAAAATGTATTTAATTAATTCATTAATTAAAAAAAAAAAATTTGTAACATTTCAGAAAGTGAAATTTTCATATATTCTAGATTCATTACACGTAAAGTTGTTTTGTTTTAATTTTGATGATTAGAGCTTGCAGCTCATGAAAGTCAAAAATCCAGTATCTCAAAATATTAGACTATTTCCTAAGATCAATCAAAAAAAAGGATCTGCAAAACAGAAAAGTTCTGCACTCAATATTTGGTCGGGGCTCGTTTAGCACAAACTCCAGCATCAGTGAGGAGTGAATGGAAGCGATCCGCCTGTGGCTCTGCTGAGACACTATTGAGCTTCAGCTCAGATCCACTGTTTCTCATCTTTCTCTTGAAAATAGACTCCATATGGGCTTCAGGTCAGGCATGTTGGCTGGCCAATCAAGCACAGTAATATCATGGTCAGCAGACCACTTGGAAGTGGTTTTGTCACTGTGGGCAGGTGCTAAGTCCTGCTGGAAAAGGTAATCAGCATCTCCATAAAGCTTTTCAGCAGATGGAAGCATAAAGTGCTCCAAAATCTCCTGCTAGACGGCTGCATTGACTTTGGACTTGATAAAACAGAATGGAGCAACACCAGCAGACGTCAGTAATGATCTTCTGTGACTTACTCTCTTTGTGGAGGGTGTCAATGATCGTCTTCTGGACCATTGCCAAGTCAGCAGTCTTCACCATTATTGTGATTTCAAAGAACAAGAGATACCTGCAGTTTATACTGTAGGGATGCTCATTTAATGAAACTTAAGTGTAAATATTCTAATATTTTGAGATACTGGATTTTTGACTTTCATGAGCTGTAAGCTCTAATCATCAAAATTAAAACAAACAAAAAAACAACTTTTGAACTGTTTTACTTTACATGTAATGAATCAAGAATATATGAAAGTTTTACAAGTTACAGAATATGAACTTTTTCACGATATTACAATTTTTTTGAGATGCACCTCAAAAAATGATACAATATGATATAACAAATCCACACAATTCAGCTCAATTCAAATGTTCAACCTAATTCTTTCCAAAACATGCTCACCTGGATAAATCTTATGTAGTATTTTCTAGGACACAATTTTTTAATCAATACAAAATTTGTATCACATTTTCCATGCGTTCTTTCAATCGATATTAATAAAGAAGACCAAAAATAAATAAAAAATCTTGCTGCAGAAAAAGCATTTCTTATAACATCAATGTTGAATTCCAAAATAACCCCAATTAGATATAGAAGTAATTCTCAGTTAGATGTAGAACTAATGGTGGTTGATTTGGGTCTGCTCTCTCAGAGGCTGTCTGTACAGGAAGTCCCGCCTCTGTTGAACGGTGACAGCAGCAGTCGTCCTCAGCAGCAGCAGTCTCACCAGAACCCCTCCAGTAATGGACAAGCCCACTCTTCAGCCAGCCCCGCCCACTTCCAGCCAACAGTGGGCGTGTCCGGGTGTCAGTCTCCTCCCACTGTTAGCCACACCCCCAGTTCCGCCCACAGCACTCCTCTGTCCCGCGCGCTGTCCAGCTGTCCTGCTGCTCCCGATCTCTACTCCACCTCCACACTGCCTCTGCCCAGGAGACAGTCCAGCGACACTCGCCAGGGACTCATGGGTGTGTGTGTGACTGTGAGTGTGTGTGTGTGTGTGTGTGTGTGTGTGTGTGTGTGTGTGTGTGTGTGTGTGTGGGGGGG